GATGTTCAGAATCTTGCCGAGTATTTGATGTAAATATGCAAGTGCACCCAGGTGTTCCTTGGTTATTGTCTAAGGTAATTGCACATGTGCACCCAGGTGTCCTGGGTTATGGACTTAAGTATAAAGTACAAGCAGCTCTGATCCACGGTGGCCGCCCCCCACTCCCAGTGGGGGAGAGGGGATCATGGGGAGGCTGCTAGTGCTGCTGGAGGCTGCTGCTGCCAGTGCCTCCAGGACCCTCTGAGATGGCTGCCACCACCAGACCTGTAAGCTGCTGCTGCCATTGCTGCGGACTGAGCTCATGTTATCTGCCAATGGCTCCCAGGATCTCTCCTAGTTACCTAGCGTGGACCTGCATGTGAAGGGTCTGGTGACCCGGTCTGTACAATGGGTTTGGAGGGTCTGAGCCCTAGCCCTGACAATACAAATGGAAACTTAGTATAACTAAAATAAGGAAATATTTCAGCTTTAGTTATGATTTGCCCGAGCTATACAATTAACATAGCTATTGCCTCAGCCCAACAACTGGTGTAGTTGTGTAGCTTTACAAGGACAGAAGAAGAAAGGTCTGCACCCTAGTCCCCTGCTGCCAGCCTCCCTGGCAGCTGAGACAATTCCAACCCCCCCCCCCCACTTGGCAGTACTGGCGCCACTGAAGGGAGGCATAATGGGATAAATATGGAGAAGACAATGACAAAAGAAAGAGAATTAGGCTCTGGGGCAAGATTAATCAAAATTCTCACAGCATGTCGCAATTTAAACAAATGGTGCATGCTGCGCCAGCAACACCCCACCGTGGTCTAATGGGTTCATTAAGTAGCTGTGGCCAACACAGCCACAGCATCCACAGGAGCAGCCCAAGACAAACCACCAAGTGGCGACACAGGGTTCCAAGGATCTCGTCCACCCTGGGTAGCACAGCTGAGCCCTCTCTGCACCGCACCTACCCAGCTCTGCGCAGAAGCGCATTCCTCATCTCATGCCTTCATCTTGTGCCAGCTGGGGGCCTTCAGCCTCTCAGGCTAAATGTGTCCTGGCACTGATCCCAGGATGGAGCTCAACTGTGTGTGGAGCAGGCTTGGGGGTTAGGGTCCAAGGGAGTCAGGTCACAGAATGGCAGTCAGTCAACAGGCTGCGTGTCACTCCAGCTGAAGGCACCCAGGGAGCTGAGGCGGTGGGCTCTGTGGGGTCTCAGGCCTCAGCACTTCCCCTTCCCTCCACAGAGTTGCTGGGGTCTTGGCCCAGAGCCCCCGCAGGAGAGAGCAACCAAGAGCTCATCCTGCAGGCCCTCTCCCCTCTGCCAGTGAGTGGAAGAGCTGAGCCCTGAAATCCCCAGACTAAGCAGGCACTGCCCGAGCCCACTTCCCCAGAGCTGCCCTGATCAGGCCCTGCCAGGGCACTGAGAGTACCAAGTGACAACGCCTGCTCCAGCCCAAGCCCCCCCAACCTCATGTTTCTAGCAGCCAGACTCCTCCTCTCCAACCCCAGGTACCAGCGGGCAGGGCAAACACTGATCTGACTGCTGGGGGCTCTGCCTTTTACATGTGCTGTTATTATTCTAATACAGGCGTTTTCTGAAATGGTGTGATTTCACATGTCAGATTTCTCATTCATAAATGCACATGTCAAAACTAAAAGTATCATCCTGTCACCCCATGTCCTCACCTTTGTTTCAAAAATCCTGACCTGGGCTCCACATGCAAGGAGAGAGCCTCTGGACCTACCCAGGTCACAAGTCCTCCTGCCCTTTGTCGTTTTAAACTGCTACCTGGAGAAGAATCTTTGTCACCACAACTTCCATCTTGGATTGCCTAAAACCCTCCAATGTTAAGTCTGAAAGCAGCAGCACGCTAGACAGAGCTCAGGGATCTGGCCCCAGCTCAAAGGTGGCAGAACCAAAGCATGGGAGTAATGGTGGCCCCCAGACAACCCCCAGGCCAGCAGCTTGTGCCTCCTGCAAGCCACACTGCAGAGACCTTGGGTTTTGTAATCTGCTATCCTGATTGCATCAAACCACATTATCTGTTTTCCACACCACCTAAAGCAAATGTTTCCTATAAAAAGTCATTTCATTGGCATCAATTTAAAAGCCAAGAGCAAACATATAATTAAAGGGAAAAACTGCCAGGTGCCAACCACTGTTCTTTGCTAATGCCCACCACCCTGGAGTTTTATCAGGTCTTTACCTGCCCCGCTGGACAGCCTATGATGTGATTCTGGGTACGGGCCTGTGGCACCCACTCTATCTTTTCAGGGGCTGGGGACTAAAGATCAGCCATCCAGACAGTACATGATGGACACACTTTGGATACCAGGGCTTGGATGAGCTTGGGGGAGGGGGGGCGTGTCACACACCAATGCCAGGAAAGTGACACTGTCCACCCCTCCACAGGGAGAGGACAGCTGGACACTGCCCCATGCGTCCCTTCCCTCAGCCGATGTCATCTGTATCCTTTCACTGCAGGAAACAGTAACCCTAAGAGCAGCTGCCAGCAAGTTCTCTGAGTCCTTCTTATGAGTTAATGAACCTAAGGGTGGCTTTGGGGACCCCAAAAC